AAAATTATGTTTTCAGTTATTGGTCTGAACAGGTCATAAAAGGAGTGATTCTTGCGAACAGGCATCAAGTGGCTTATTCTCAAAATAAGTATAAGGTAAAATGACAAGTCTACGAGGCAGCGAAGCTGCCGAGTAACAGCCGCTCACTGCCGCCACGCGGCAGTGAGCGGCTTGTTTATTTATACATATTTCGTCGAGGTTGCTGAATGAGTTCACCTTTGAGAAAAGGCACCCGCTAAAACTTTTCGCTCTAATGCATGTGCAATCCCCCTCAAATCTTCTTTGATTTCTGAATGCGTCAAAACACGTTTTTGATGATGCTTCAGATATCGCGCATTTTCGAATACTGTCCTTTTATGGAACCATAAAATACTTCTGCACAATTAAGTAGTCATTGAAGAGAACGTGTGTACCCTTTCAGACAGTTTGTCCACTTATCTACAAAGGTACAACGGGTGACGTCTAAAAAAATCTGTATGGTTCTCCGAGTGCTGCTTAAATTTTTATGGAGAGGAGCGGCAAAGTGCTGTCTGGATAACACATGTATTTACTTTCAAGACGACGTGCACACTTTACTTGTTTCTCATTCGTACAAAAAATTCAAATTCCATAAAAGTCAAAGTGCCCCACTGATTTAAGACCACTAATACTATCTCTAACTTTGATAGCAATTCTATTAAGCATGCACAGACATTCAAATGACTTTCTACATGACTAAGTATTATATGCGTTACTGTGGATTTTCTGCATCTAAAGCAAGCACTTCTCAGAGGAATGGGTTTATCGTTATAACAATTTCAAGAACCATGTGCTTTTATCTTAGTTTTTCAATAGATTTCCCAAGTATAGGTAGTACCAAAAATGCACATTTGTGAGATCATACTGCAACTAAAGTTTACGCTCTACACTAACGGCAAACAGCTATCTCGGCGATACGCACCGAGAGTACTGATAAGAAATTCCATATCCAGGACAGTCGCATTGGTAGACAGGACGGCGATCGGAGGCATAGTACGAGAATGTCGCAGCTGCAGAAGTTTATATAGAAACCGAAAAGATTAAAAGGCCAAGCTTACTACAAGGTTGCTCCTGGACTTCTTGTACATTCTGTTGCTGCATATCGTTCGAATTTTGCACATCTGGAGTACCAGATTCATTCGGATTCACACATCTGAGATACTGATACGAGGTTCCACCAGGACATTCACAAAGGTAAACTGGGTTCCCATTGGAAGCGTAGTACGAGAATGTCGCGGCTGCAAAAGCATCTGAAGAAGAAGTGAGAAGCTGAAGATGTAATTTAGCTTACTACAAGGTTGCGATTGCATATTTTGTGGAAACTGAGTATTCTGCATATCCTGCAGATTTTGTAATTGCATATCCTGTGGATATTGCATATCTGCACTGCCGCCAAGCTGTTGTTGAGGCGAAAGCATTTGAAGGACCGATAAAACTGATCCTCCAAGATTCGTTGCATCCGCAGCCAATCTTATTCCTCCACCTAAGAACACTTTTCAAAGAGCATGAAATTGCTTGTATACAGCGAACCCACCAACTAAATCCAACACACCAAGTGCAGTATAAAGGCCGCGAAGAGACCTCGGATGGCGTCTGCAAGAAAAAATTTTTTCCCATCTGAATTCATCAATCGTTCATAATGCACATACTACTTGCACAGGATAACATCAAAACACGTTTGATGAGCAGAAAGGAACCCCTGCGTTTTTGGTATGTAAGAGTAACACCATCTATTCTGGAAGTTTCTGAGATCTGCTATGCACCAATCCCAGTCCAGTTCAAAAGAGGGGCATTGCTCCACAAATGACTCAAGCTGCTTTTGGAGTCATGCCGGCAAAAGCAACGCAATTACATGTATGATGATATATCAGTGCTAAAGTTTCTCTTTCTTTAGAGCTGATCTCGAGCCTTAGAACCTAAAAAGCAAAAGTTATTAGTATACATAGTCATATTTATGGGATGAAGCCTGCGCCGCCGAAATAAATGCTGGGCTTAACTATTTTTTGAGCACGCAATCTAGTTACAAAACTTTATCAGCTAAACACACAATCTAGCTTGTATATACCAAGTGCTCACTGCTTGCGCTAACTCAACTTTGAGATTGAGTTCCGGTTGAAAAAGAAACGAATACACAGGTTTTGCGGGCGTGAATACAACCATTTATCGACTTAATGTGTCACATCTTCCCACGAGCAGATAAGAGCCTCTAAACTATGGAAAAACAGCCGTTTTCGCGGAACTGATTCCTAAAGCATTTAAGGCATTTGAGAAGAGTAACGCAAAATTTCATAATTGTACTGGGCTCAGTAAGATCTCTTGAGCTTTGTTATTTAAAAACCGCTAAAAAAATCGTGTTCAGAGCAAAATTGATTACTAATACTAAGATTAATGCCGGTTTTCGTCCTTATGCTAAGTACAGGTTTACAATTTATGCCCTTTCAGTAGCATCGGCGGCTTCTTGAGTTCTTTCCAAAAAGTCCAGGAACTCCAAATTAGGGTGTTCGTATAATTATAAACTAGGTTTACTCTTTGACACGTAACTGCCCATCAAATG